TAATACCCCGCGCTTCTATTCGAATTTTTTTTTGGAAAATGTTTGAAATTCTACCTTTTTTATTTCGGTTTCATATCATAATTTATATAATAATAAATCTTAATGTTAATTGTAATGTTTGCGTCAATTAATGTTCTAATTGAATATGTGATATTGTAGAAAGAAAAAGATCCTGTGTATAGGGATCCATCATTTGTTGATGTGATTCATGTAAAAAAAATGCACCATCTAAAAAAAAAAGATAAAATACTAATATATATTGATGAGCAGGCTTAGAGTACACTATGAGTTTAATTTCTTAGCTTTTATTATTTCTTGCGGTCAAATCAAGAAATATTGTAACATGTGGATTGATTAATTCAAATAGCTAGTTACCTATTTGGGTCACCTATTTTAACTAAAATATATCATAAAAATGAATAAAATTGTATGGAATTATTTTGGTCAGTTATATTGACCGAAATAAAGCTTCTAGAAACCCTAGCAATGGTATTCCTTTTTTTGAATTTGCCGGTACATTTACTTCGGTCAATATAAATGACCGAATTAATTTCATAAAATTTTTTGCTCCCGCACCTTGCCTTTTGAATTTTTTGGTGGAAAATGTTTGAATTTTTCGCTCTTTTATTTCGGTCAGTAAGACTGGCCGAAATGAGTTCTATAAATACCCCTTCCCATTATGTTTTTTCACTTTGCTTTCTTTCTTTCTTTTTTCTTCTTCATCGTCCACTTTTCTGCTTCTCTTCCAGTTCTCTTCCATTGTTTCTTTCTTCTTCAACCTCAACATTTTGCTTTAGTTTTTATTTATTTAACTTTCAACAATTATCTTTAACATTATGTAATGTTAATTGTGTAACTTTATCTTTATGTTATATAATGTTAATTGTGTACTAATGATTTAAATTTGATAATGTTCAGGGTCTTAAGTTGGTGAAGATGATAATGCAGCAATTTATAGGTAATTTTATTATATTATTCAATATTTATCATCAATTTTTTATTTGTTTTATATTATTAAATATTCAAAATGTTTTCAATTATGTATACTTATTTTATATATAAATTTAACTTTTTTT